GGAAAGAAGGAGGGTCCCCCCCGCCAACGCCGCCGCCCCGCGCAAAGCCATTACTTGGGCCCGAGCCGCCGCCGGCTCCGCCTGGCCTGGCCGTGGGGATGCGCTCGCCCCGCCGCCGCCGCCTCTTCTTTTTTATCCCCGGCCGAGGCGAGTAGAATTGATGCGCTCGCCGGAGCGATGCGCTGCCGCTCATGCGCCGCGGAGCGCGGCCTGGCGGGAGCCGTAGTTCGCGCGGCCGGCCGGGGAAAGACGCTCCGCCCCGGCCCAGACTACAAGTCCCGGCCTGCCTCGCTCGCTCGCTCGCTCGCGCCCGGGCCGCCTTTGGACGGGGCGGAGGCGCGGGCCGGGGATGGAGAGCCTCCCCCCTGAGCAGCCGCCGCCGCCGCCGACAGGGGGGACGCTGGGGAAGGCCTGCTGCCGCCCCGCCCCGTCCCGTCCCGCCTTTGGGGTTCTGGCCAATGCTCCCTCTAAGCTGTGGAGTCTTGTGAGCAAAAATTCTACTTTGTGAGCTGCTGGCCTTAATAAAGTTGTGAGCGAGCAATTTGGCTGCCGCATCAATTAGTTTGCTCTGGAGCCCCATCCTTCCTCACCAAGGAGACTGTTTGCTCACAAGACTCCACAACTTAGACAAAAATCTGTGAGCTGGAGGCTAAAAAACTGTGAGCTAGCTCACACCAACTCAGCTTAGAGGGAACTTCTGGCGTCCTCAAATCCGAGGGTGCGCGGCTAAGAATGGGCAGGCAGGAGGGCCTTTGCAGTCGAGGCAGATGCATGAAGAAATGTAAGGCGACGGTCGCAGCAGCAGCAGCAGCAACCACGGAAGGCGGACTTGCCTCTTTTTGAGACACCTCCGCAGGAAATCCTCCTGTCTTATTCACGACGTTGCTTACCCGACTGCTTCCAGGAAAGTAGACGGTGGACACCAACATAGAAGCACTTTAGGAAGAACACAAATGGATATAAGATTAATGTAATGACTAGTTCCGCAAAATCTCATACTTCTTTACTTATTTCTTCTCCACCAGCTCTAATATTTCACATTAAATCTTCCAAAGGGTCGAATGATATGTCGTAATTGTTATTGTAAGTTGATAATAGAAGTTTCCTTTTCTTTCTTCTCTTTCTTACCGCTCCAGTAGTTCAGATTGCTTCCTAATGTTTCTATTAAGTTTAGGCCAAGTCTGTTCTCTTTCTACTGAAAACATATTCGGAAGTGTGATGAGTAATGTATTGTAATTCTTTGAACGTGTTATAAGGTTGTACATACTCAGGAACTATTTACAGGATGTGAATGTAATTGGAAGATTAATTGTTCACTGTTTGAAGTGTTAGAATTGTTAAAAATTGAAAAAAATAAAAAAACATTAAAAAAAGGAAGAACTTTCCTTTGCGATGCCCCTGATAAAGCTGACTCGGGCCCAGAGAAGGGGCCATCCCATGCGCACAAGTTCAGTGCCTTCCATGGAAGTTCTGCTCGGTGAGCCTTCTTTTGGAGTCAGCATGCTCAGGACTCGGCTGCAGAGCTATGTCATACTCAGGGCCGGCTCACTCACTAGGCGAACTAGGCGATTGCCTAGAGCAGGATGGCCCTTAGGGGCACCAAACTGCACCCGGCCCCATACTCTGGGAGTTTCTTGATTATTTGTGTTTTTCATTCTTCCTAAAATGCATTTATGTTTGAAAATCGGGGGGGGGGGGGCATAAGGGATCCTCGCCTAGGGTGCAAAATAAGCTGGAGCCGGCCCTGGTCATACTAAATGTGCTAGCCTCCAGAGGAGCCCTTTAAGAACAGCTATGCAGCACATTTGCTGTGGTCTTGTGTCCTGACCTGCATGGCCCAGGCTCGCCCAATCTCAGGATGCCGGACTAGATGGACTAATGGTCTGATCCAGCTGGCTGTTCTTGCTCTAATTTATTTATGTCATTTATAGTCTGCCTTTCTCATGGAGATTCAAGGTAGATTACACAGTAATCTTGACAACAGCCCTATAAGGTAGGCCAAGGTTATTACCCCATGTTGCAGGTTTGCAGGGAGGAGTCGACAGTGAATGGCTTCCCAAAGGCCACCAGGTGAGTTAATGGCTCAGGGAAGAATTGGACCAGGGACTTCCTGCCTTGAAGCTCACACTTGGACAATAAATTATTCAATGATTCCACGCAGTTTTTATCAAACATTTCTATATTTTTGGTATACTCAAAGTTATTTCTTTGAACTCTTTCATTTCCCAGTGCTAGTGCAGGGGCAGCCTTTGCAAGATGGGCGCTCTTGAGAGCAGAATGTATTGGCAACTTGCAATGTCTTTTGCAATAAGCATACATGTTGAGCAACTGAGATGCAAATATGATTAGTGGTGGTTCTAGGGCCCCAAGCAGCATCAGGCCGCTAGTCCAGGAGCTTACCACACTATTTTCCAATCTTTTGGTAGCTGAGGCACACTTCAGAATTAAAATGGGTGGTATGCTTCAATTTATTCTTTTTGTGTGGAAGGGTAAAAATTGCTCCCCCCCCCCATCAAACGCACTTTCCATGTTTCTCTGTGCAGAGATGCAACAGGCAGCCTCTTTAGACAGCAGTGAAGTTTGCTTCAGGGAAGACTGGATGATCCAATCACATCAACTTTTAGTGACGTGCCAAAATTCTTGATCCCCCGCAGAGGCTGGATGAAATGAGGCAAGGTCACAGCACAGACAGACAGGCAACCTTTAATGGCATATCGGAAATTAAAAAATACATTAAAATTGAAGAATACATCAGAAGTGTGGGTGTCATACAGCCAACAAAAAAGAACTGATCAGTTAATAGTTTCCGTAGTTCAAATTACTGCTTGAAGAAAACAGGCAACATTAAGAGTTATAGAAGAGTTATGCCCAGAGAGTAACAACTGGACCTTGACACGCTCAGAAAGACTGTGCCAAGTAAAGAGAAAGGTGTCCAAATTTTTTTGTCGGGTCTTAGTATAAAATGGACAATTTAAAAGAACATGGGGAATGGATTCAATAGCACCCTGACTACACAGGGCATTGTCTAAGTTCGTAGGGGATTTTTTTTGCATCTTCCAAAGAAGATGGCTGATGGCAATGCATTAAATCTAGCTAACATAAATGCCCTTCTTTGATGGGGAGAGCAAAAATAAGTAGCTGTCTGGCCGTGTCTGGGATAATCCCAAATGAATTGGAGAACAAGTTTTCCTGGCTGCCTCAGTCAGGCACTGAAACGGAATATCTAAAAGCCTGTGTTTGATTGTATAAAATATTATGGAGGCAGATGATAGGTAAAGCGTGTCTAGAAGTATTCCTAAGGACCTGATTTCTTTTTTTTTTACTAGTTTCAGCCAGTTAGGTTCATAATGATCTTTCATCATTAAAAAGGTAGAAGAATTTGGGTCAGAATTAAACAGAAAGCACGCCCAAAATTCGATGGTCAAAAACCAGGCCCGAGTTTCCAGTAGCATCTGGCAGTTTCGAGACAGATCGCAGCATAAGGGACACAATTGGGAAGTCCAAGGATTTTCTGCAAAAAAAAAAAAAGGTTTGTAAACCCTCTGCTGATTGGTTAATTGCGCTTATCCAGATGGGAGCGCCATATAGGAATTGTGAGCTAGATTTGCCACTGAAGGCTTTTAAGGCCATTGGGACGTATCTATTGCCTCTCATGTAGAAAAAGCGGGCGATGGCCTCAGCACTGTTTCTTGCTAGAGTAGTAGCACATTTGCGGTGAGTAGCCCAGTTCCCATTGTAGTAGAAATTGATCCCCGAGTATTTAAATGATTTGACCTGCTCAATGGGATTTCCCTGAATTGTCCATGTGGACTGTTTCCAGGATTTGGAGAAAACTAAAATCTTTGTTTTCCCATAATTCAGAGTTAACCTATTGTTGTTACAGTAGGTCAAACATTGATGTAAGAGATGCCTCAGTTCAATTTGAGAACATGAAAGTAAAATGGCGTCATTTGCATATAAAGGAACTGGGATATGGCGTTGGCCAATTTTGGGAGCATGTCCATCAATTTCGAACAATGATGGAGCCAGGTCATTTAAAAACAAATTAAAAAGTGAAGGGGCAAGGATATAACCCTGTTTTACACCTTTACAAAACAGAATTTTGGGGGTTAGATTCCCCTGTAGATTGAATTTGACCTGACAACTGGTCTGTGTATATAGGTTTTTTTAATTAAAAAAGCAGTCTGGGATCTATATTCATTTTAGCCATCTTATCCCTTAAGAAGTCTCTTGGGATTGAGTCGAACGCTGCCTTAAGGTCTAAAAAGGCGGCGAAAAGCTTATTACCTGGTTTCCCACTGTATTTCGTAACAAGGTGTGATAATACTGCACAGTGGTCCCGAGTGGATTTTCCCCAACGAAACCCCATTTGTTCTGGTCCTAAAACATTATAGTCAGTCATCCATCCCTCTAGTTTGGTTAGAAGGTGTTTGGCATAAAGTTTGCCAACTACTGATAGGAGGCTGATTGGTCTACAGCTGCCAGGAGAGGAAGAATCACCCTTTTTAAAAACAGGGACAGTGATTGCGTTTGTCCGTGACCTTGGCATTATTCCAGTGTTATTTATCAAGGTAAACAAGGCAGCCGAAGGAGGGGCCCACCATTCTGGGTGGGACTTCAGTAGTTCTGGGGGGGCTGCATCAGGGCCAGGGGCTTTTTTTTTTTTGGTGTTAAGGCATGTGATCAAGGTAATAATGTCCTCAGGGGACACAGGTGGCCACTCGGGTTCTCGGGGGCATCAAATTCAGAGGGTTTGGGGAAACTTGCACCATTTTCATTAAAAAGGTTTAAGGAATATGAAAACCAGGTATGGGAGGGAATTGGTGGTGATGAAATTAGTTTTGTCCGAGAAGCACCAGAGATTAGGGCCCAAAATTCCCTGCAGTCATTTCACCTGGATGCCCTGATCAATAGTTCCCACTGGTCCCTGACAAACGAGCTTCTTGGCTTTGACTCAGTCAGAGAGCACTGTATCTGGCAGGAGACGTGCCAGATAGCCTCCTCTGTAGAGAAATGCTTTTTTTTCTCCCTCACAGCCCACTAGCTATTCTTTCGAGGAGCACTAGTGTGCCTCAGCACACCATTTAGAAATTACTGTTAAGGCCAGACAGAAGATT